AAACTTAAACATAAGTTACTATGACTATAGTTACTACTACAGCCACTACACTCAAGAGGTCACATTTTTGTAAATAACCTTTATTTTAGTCATAAATATGTAATTATTTCTTTTAAAATTTGTCGGACAAATTCTTTGGTAGCCATAGTGACATGTTTTACAACGGCACTACCACCAATAGTGGCCAGTAGTTGCAGCTATTTTTACTAGAATTAAAAAAATATTGAATTCAGCCAATTTTTCTAGCTAATTTTCAAATGAAAACAATATGGCCAGTGGTGGGTGGGGTGGGGTGGGTGAAATAGGAAAAAACAATGTATAGAAGAAATAAAACTAGGAAAAGTTGGGTGACGTAATCGTGATGACGTTATTGACATGGCGATGAGTTGAAGGGGATCTAGCAGTGAGACGGGAATGAGGTGGAAAGATGATCTCGTACATGGGCGGATCCAGGAATCTGGGTTAGACTGAACTGAAAACTAAGTATATTAGGTTTAAATATTAGGAGGATGGGCTAAAATGAAAAAAATTGCACTAAAACATCGAGGGGGGGGGGGATAAACTACCTTGGGCTTCAGATTTTCTTTTATTAATGAAAAAAGAGCATTACAAAGTTTAAAGAAGGAAGAAATTTAAAGAAACTAGCTGAGAACTAGGAAACATTATAGCTATTTGATCGAGTTTGTTGTCTGGTCTGAATGGTCCGGATCATCTCATTGCGTTTCTTGTTTCTCTTGGATACCACCAATGTAAATCCTTCAGACGGTACACTAATCAGGTGTTTTTACGAAGTTCGGACAGGGTGTTTCTTAAGCACAAAAGTCTAATTGATAATTGGGTGATAGTAAAAAAGTCTATTTGACAGTTTTCCCTTGCATATTCATATTTTTCCTTCGATAGTGATTGTTAGTAATAATGCTGGCGTGTAAGATGATAAATGAGGGTCGTAAAGTGAGTGGATAACTTACTTTTACCAAAATGAAGGAAAGAAAACTATTTTAGGTGAAGCGAGAAAGAGAAATAGGCACATAGTTTGGGAACGGAGAGAGTAATTATTGATTCACCAAAAATGAGAAGATGAATATGAATATTTAAATTTAAATGAAGTAGCTTTCGTTTTAACATGTTTGTATGATCGTATCTAAATACTTACGTAAAAAGGTCTCTATTAGAATTTATGTACTACTAATTTACTTATTATAATACAATTTGGGCGTAAGTATTGACTATACATCCATAGGGAGACCATCCATATATAAAAAACGTTATATGAATTAAGAAAATGAAGTATTCTTATGATTCTTATTACTAGTATTACTATTTTTACTATGAGCCCGTTTGGTAACACTGAAATCGACTGATTTTGCTCAAATTTATGAAGTTCCAGCTAAAGTGGTTGTATTGGCTAATTATGCTGGTTTATGCAAAAAAATATTTAAAATATATTTCATTAATAAAGTAAAGAAAAAATTATATGAAAAAATAGCTAAATTAGTCATCTACAACAATTTCAGCCAGAAAAGTAACTCCAACCTTACTTTTCTTATTATTACACAATTCAAAGCGCGAAATCAAAAGTTACGTGTTTGGTTAAAAAGTTGGTTATAAGCCTGATAAGCCGAAAAACGGAGTCACCAAACGGGCTCTATATCTATGGATGTAGAGCGATAGAGTTGTTATAACAACCCATCAACTTGTGAAATATGTCTATAATAGTAAATTGTTTAAATATCAATGTTAGATATCAAGATCGAAAGAGGGGAAATTGTTGTTTATTATGAACGTAATTGAAGAACAGAACTGAAACGATACACGGTTAGGCACTTAAAGCAGCATATCTCTCCAGAAATCCCAGCCCAAGTCTAAATTTCTGCCTTCTTCTTATTACCCCCTTAGCTTCTATTTATACTCCCTTACAAATTATTATTAACATTTATTATTATTAGCAATAAATGGCCCGGTGCCTATCCTCAAGGTGGGTGATAGGAAACAGCCCTAATGAACAGCTTCATCTTTATCTTTGAGCCTCTTCCTTCCCAGTATCTCCCTAATTTTGGGACCCTGAGCTTCATGAACTGCACCATTGCTATCACTTTTTCTACTGCGAAGAGCTGAGGCAAGGTCATGGTTACATTATGCTTCACTAAAACCTGACCAGCACCAAGTGCTACAACCCATACAGACCCGTTCTCATGGGCCGGGCCATCTATAATTGCAGGAAGAATTGGCGATGCCTTTTTACGGTAACAGTGTTGAATGATATCCGGAACAGCTTCCAATATAGGATAGATTCTTCCTGAATGAATAGCAACCACAGTCATACCTCTCCCACCATTTCTGCAAACTGATATAGGGGCCATGTGAATCTGCTCTATACCATCAATACCTGTACCCTCAGTATCTATCACCTAAAAATATTTTTCAAGGAGAAAACTGTTCCTCTTGTTGGCTTCAAACAATGCTGATACGCATGCGAGCAGTGTTCCAAACAGCCCATGAGAGAAGCATTTTCTGAAATCTCTTTGCTTCCCTAACTGGATCTGCATCCAACTTTCTTAGCTTAAGTGTAGATAAAGAAACCTTAGCGATTATTTCAAGCAAGTAGAGCTCAAATTCTATATTTCCAACATCATCAGCTAGCTTGGATTCCATTAAAACTCCACAGCTGGAACAGTTCACTTCTGAATCATTAAAGCATAAAACCCCTTAACAAGGTTGAACATTTACTTCAGCTTCCATTCCTGCAACTCTTTTGGGCTTTAAAGATAAATTCATGAATTGTTCCCTCTTGGAGACGTCAATTCCAGCAGCCTGAATAGTAGGATCCAGATCCACACTGATTCTACTCGACTAGTAATCTGAAATAGGTCCAAAAACCTTGTCATGATTCTTAAATTTGATAACAGCACCGAACTTCTTTATTGCATGAATTTTTCTTTCATCAAGGTTATCAAGAACAAATTCATCATCCCAAGTGAAAACTGGTTCTTCAAATGCATTTATCTGTGGATCATCATGCACCAATGACTTTGCCAAGGCATCCAGGAGTATTATAACACAGTCACCCGCCTGAGCTTGGTCCTGACTTTCAGCATAAGTCACACCCTTCTCCATCCTTCTTCTATTAGTAAGTGAGTAACCATGTTACGCTTTTTCCGATCCTCATCTCTTTTCCATAGAATCTTGAGCTCTGTACTAGCAGTTGTCATCCGAGACTGGTTGTCAAAACCTGGCAGTCCCTTAACCTCTTCACCAACGGTAATAGCATCTAGGAAGAGACAGAGAGTGAGATCCTTAACAAGCATCCAATACATGTCAGCTTCAGCATTAGTAACATATCCAACATATTCTGTAATATTCGCAGTAAATCCTCCTCCTAAACCACTTAGATTATACATAATCAAATCATCATCATTACCCCAGTACCGCAAAGGCTCCCACCTAAGGTGGGGTAAGGGAGGTCGGATGTATGCAGCCTTACCCCTGTACTAAAGCAGGGAGAGGCTGTTTCCGGATGACATAGACTAACTGTTGCTTCATAACAAAGAAGCGCAAACAGTTTAGTGAGCCATTTTGCTTTATTCCATCATGTTCCAAGCCAAAAAATAGTGAGTTTTTGGCTCTATTGCAAATGATGGAAAAAAGATTATACATAATCAAAGTAACGCCAAAAATTCTGAAGCTATCAAACTTGTTCGGCCTTTTCCAAGTAATATGTGATGAATGACAGTACACACTATCCTTCAAAACATTCAATCCAAGTTCATGAACTGTATCAATCAAGGTTTAAAATCTCCTGGATTTAGGTCCATTGCACTAGCATGCCTCATATCATCATAGGTGAGGATATTGACTGATGATAATCTCGTCGGTTGATTATCATCCTCTTTGGGGTCTGATTCCTTAACTGATGGTTCAACCGACTTCAATTTTGTGTTCCTTGTCATTGGTGGAGTCCCCTGGGGTTCCTTTCCTGATGCGACTAGGTTGAAGGTTCTGGAAGCAGATGAATGTGACACAAGCTGAGGAAAGACATGCGACGATAAACTGTGAGATACTGTGAGTGAGTCAACCTGCGAACTGACCATATCTGCTCGCGACGAGGCCAGAGGATTAGAGGGAGTTGTTTGCGACTGAGGAGGAAGTTGCGAACTCAGATCAACTGATAGAGGCGGTGTTTGCGAACTGTGAGGATATGCGAGCGCAGAAATTTGCGGAGGAGGATCTTCTGCTGGAGACGAAACTAGCGCACTGTGAGACACGGCTTGAGATGCCATCTGTGGACTATGTGGAGAGTGCGAACTGCGAAGACTTCTCGCTAGCAGCTGGAGTTCGTCACCTGTTAGTTCGCGACCTTCCCCTGGATTTCAGATGATTCTGGTTCATCGTCATTTGGTGCAGCTCGGTAATCATTCCGTGCATATTTTGCATCTCCTCCATGTTGCAATCGATCTTCTTCTCGAGGCGAGTGTTGCACTCCATGTTGCGATCTATCTTCTGCTCGAGATCATCCAGGCGGCCTTCCATTTGTGATCGGTTAAATCTCATTCACCAGCTCAGGAGCGAACGGCTCTGATACCAATGTTAGATATCAATATCGAAAGAGGGGAAATTGTTGTTTATTATGAACGTAATTGAAGAACAGAACTGAAACGATACACGGTTAGGCACTTAGAGCAGCCTATCTCTTCAGAAATCCCAGCCCAAGTCTAAATTTCTGCCTTCTTCTTACTACCCCCTTAGCTTCTATTTATACTCCCTTACAAATTATTATTAACATTTATTATTATTAGCGATAAATGGCCCGGTCCCTATCAATAACATTTAATTTTTGGATTAGATTTGGGATTATATAGTGGTTATTGATTTTAAAATTTTTTAAAACTTGAAATTAGATAGTTCAAGTACGGGTTTTCAAAAGGTATGTTAAACAACTAATATGATTGGTTTTCAACAGCCTTGTTTTACTATACATAAACTATTCATGGAGAAAATAATACCAAAGTGCCCACTGAAAGAATGTGAGAAAGGTGTTCCACATTAAATAGACCCGCCAGAATGATGGCAACAATCCCAACCCAAATTTGCGAATGAACAGGAGTATGCCTTGTTGGGTGTACTTTCGCAAATACTGAAGGCAATAAACCATCCCTTCCAAGCCCAAGATATAGTCGTGACTGCACAAGAGAAACATTTTTTAAAATGGCATTGCATTTGCACCTTGCAAGTGGTTTAAATGAACCAGATAACCCAGGGAAAAAGGGGCATTTACCTGAACATAAAGGCCTACCATAAGAGTTGTCGTGAGCCCTGCAATAGCACCAATGCTAATAAGCACTGATACATACTTCAATCCTCTCTCATTGAAAGCTTCAACCAAAGGAGCATCACCACCCAGGAACTTGTAAGGAACCATCCCAGTAATCACTAAACAGACTGCGATATAAAGCAGGATGCATACAAGGAGGCTCCCAACTATGCTTAAAGGCAAGTCTCTCTGAGCATTATCAAGTTCAAAAAGTATTACAAGGGTTAGTTGTTGTTGTTAATATTACTATTATGACTATTTTCTTTTAAAAAACATATCTAGGTTGCAACTATTCTAGGGAATATAAGAATATTTGACCAACTCAAACTTATACAGAAATAGTTTACCTGTGGCCTCTTAGATTCTTCAGCAGAATTAGCAACAGCATCAAAGCCAACATATGCAAAGAATACCACAGTTGCTCCCGTTAATATGGCTTTGAATCCATTTGGGGCATAGGGGGTCCAATTAGAAACATCAACCTCAAAAGTACCAAAAATGATGACAATGATAACAATGACTACCTGAAGAAAATCTTATTATGTAGTTAAGTCAACTTTAAAAGAACACGTGCCTTTTCATAATTCCTAGCAAAGCTGCAGGAGATATGAAGAACACAATGTTGAATACTCTTCTGTACGAAATGCACATAACTTTAAGAGCAATTGTAGAGAGGGTAGTAAGCAGGATAAAGAGATCACCTTCGTCAAAGTCATAACTGAATTCAACATAGAGGACTCTCCTACACCCCAACATAGAACTATTGTCAGAGCTATGAGGAGAAGGGGAGCTAGTATGTTAAAAGAAAATGCTCCCAGATATTGTTTGCTGCCATGCCCAACCCAGTTGGGAATGGTGTCCTTAAGGAAGGGGATGAGCTCTACTGCATTAATTACATAGCTAGTTAAACTGCGTGCTATGGTAGCAGCACCAATATGATAGTCGAGCATCAACTGGGTGAAAACAAGAAAAGCAGTGAGCTCATTAAAAGCTGTGTAGGTGTATAAGTAAGCTCCCCCAACAACTGCAGGAAAGCTAGACGCAAGCTCGGCATAGCAGAGTGCATTTAGAGCACAAGAAGCTCCTGCAATGATGAAGCTGATGGTGACTCCTGCATTGAAAACGTGAAACTCACATCATGAATGGCATTTCGAACTACCCATCAAGTTAAGAGTAAAGTGCAGGTATGCAAAACACATTGCAAATGAGAGAGTATGGGGTGTTTGGAACTGATTCTCCTTCTGCTTCATTTTTAAAGAAGCAGAATCAGAATCAGTTTTCAGAAGCTGGTACCCCCAACTTCTAAAAAAACTGATTCTGAGAGTAAATTAGAGCACCAGAAGTGCTTCTGGAATTTCACCCAAACACTCCAGCTTCTGCTTCTGCTCCTTGAAGGAGCAGAATCAGTTTTGAGAATCAGATCCAAACACCCCCTATGAGGTAAGAGCTATTTTCAATGGTGAAGAGAAGAGAGTAATGACACCAACAAATTTCTTGACACGGAATTATGTTTGAAGAGAATAAATGACATCCTATAAATACAACAACAACATCCAAATCTATTTCCAAAAAGATTTTGGGATCGGCTAACATCCTATAAATAAATAAATATATATATATATATAAATAAATAAATAAATAAATAAATAAATAAATAAATAAATAAATAAATAAATAAATAAATAAATAAATAAATAAATAAATAAATAAATAAATAAATAAATAAATAAATAAATAAATAAATAAATAAATAAATAAATAAATAAATAAATAAATAAATAAATAAATAAATAAATAAATAAATAAATAAATAAATAAATAAATAAATAAATAAATAAATAAATAAATAAATAAATAAATAAATAAATAAATAAATAAATAAATAAATAAATAAATAAATAAATAAATAAATAAATAAATAAATAAATAAATAAATAAATAAATACTAACTCCTGACATGATTATATAGACAGTAATTAAATAGATCAATTAGTTTATAGTAATGATTATGGATATTTAACATGTTGAGGCTGCACGATTATGCTGTAAATTAATTGTGCTAATAATTTTTTTAAAGTAGAAATGGAAGGTTAGACTGGAACTACTGGGAGTAAATAAAATCACATCTATGAGCAGATGAAGAATTATTATATCCCAGAAAATGTAAGAGAGACGCGAGATGGGAACTCACCTGGTCCAGCATCATGGGCAACGGTTCCGGTAACGACAAAGATTCCAGCTCCAATTGAGGCTCCAATACCGATGAGAATGAGATCGAAAAGGGAAAGGCGGCGGACGAGACCCTCGCCGGATATTTCCCGTGCGACGGCTTGAGACGGCGTAGCTAGAGGTTTGGACCGCCTAGCGGATGACAAAAAGTGAGCGAACCATTGGCTGGACGAGGAAGAAGTAGAATAAGGGCGCGTGTCATCTCTCATCGTCAATTATACTGCGGTGCACCCTCAGCTCGGATTGGCTTAGTTCACGACGAAAGTGGAACGGTAATGTTAGCACTTAGCAGAAGCCAATGCTAAAGTCAAAAATGCATTAATGGAGAGGTGGGTGCATCTTTTAGGAGTTCTATTTTGTTCACAATTTGGCATTACAAATTTACAATTGCAAAATTTAAAAATCTTGTCAAATGAAATGTGTTGGAGGGAGGGGTGAAGGGTGAACAAAATAGAACTCTCTTTTAGCATGTTAATTATTTCAACAGAATAGAGTCCCACTTCTTATGGGCCCCATATTTATAGGGCACTATAAGTATTATTTTTAGGCCACTAACATCAATTAATTAATTATATCATAAAATATTAATATAATTAAGTAATTATTTTTAGGCCACTAAAGTATGAATATGAGTTGCGGAAAAAATTCATATTTTACTACCGTATAATAATATCCTCATAAATTGAAACATTTTACAAAATATTGTAGGGACTAATAATTTGAAAGGAAAAATCGATACCTTTAATTTTTTATTTGCATTATTTAATGAGTACTCAATTGATTTGAGTGTAATAAGAATTTAGATTAAAAATATTTTTAGTTTTTTATATTAAAAGTGGCCTCAAATTTGTATTTTGAACAGGGGCCTCCAAAATCATTAGAAAGCCCTGGATGGGTGGAGTATTTCTTATTCTTATTTTAAAAGAAAAAAATCAAATCAGATCAAATCAGATACTCCGTATGAAAGATTCAGCTCAGATCATAAAGATTCAAATCAGATCAGAAAGATTCAGATCAGATCATAAACATTCAGATTAGATCAGAAGGATTAAGATCAGATTGAAAAGTTCAGACATGATTTATTATTAGGGAAAATTGTCAAATAGGTCCTCGAACTTTCATAAAAAGGTCAATTAAGTCCTTCTATAGGAGGTTCTGTCCGGCCGTCGCGATTTGGGGCAGTTCCCGGTGGAATTTTTTGATGAAATTTTTTGAGCATCTTATTCACCAAGTCTAGTTTACCCATACCAAATTTCAGCTAAAAATTCAATCGGGGACACATTCAAATTAATTCTTGAAGATAACTGCGCATTTTTGCGTTCTCAAATTAATTTGAATGCGCTCCAGATTAAATTTTTAGCTGAAATTTGGTATGAGTAAACTAGACTTGTTGAATAAGATGCTCAAAAAAATTCATCAAAAAATTCCACCGAGAACTGCCTCAAATCGCGACGATCGAACAGAGTCTCCTATAGAAGGACTTAATTGATTTTTTTATGAAAGTTCGAGGACCTATTTGACAGTTTTCCCTTTATTATTATTATTATTATTATTATTATTATTATTATTACTACTATTATAATTACTATTATTACTATTATTATTATTATAGTAATACTAATAATAGTAATAGTAGTGGTGATGGTGATCGTGAAATTTGATAGTGATAATGATATTTTAGTGATAGTCATAGTCATAGTCCACACATGACCCCCTCCGTCCCAGGGGGTCACCCATCCCAAGACTACTCCCGTGCAAGCACGCTTAACTTTGGAGTTCTTGGGTGATGACCTCTTATATAAATCTCGGGTATTACAATCACCCCCACTTAGGATCGCAACGTCCTCGTTGCGCCCTTAAACCAATCTCAATCTCAATCAAATCCAGAATCTTCCCCCGCTAAGTGCCCGCCCGATATCCAACGGATCAGCACACTGTCGCAGGGTTGCTCTGATACCACCTGTAACACCCCGCCCCGTAGGGCCCGAGGTAGCTACTTCAGACCAATAGTACTGTCCCCACAAACCACCACGAGCCTTTACCACGCACTTTGTCCTCACTCGTGCGCGCCCTGAGAAACTTCCCAGGGGGTCACCCATCCCAAGACTACTCCCGTGCAAGCACGCTTAACTTTGGAGTTCTTGGGTGATGAGCTCCCTTAACAGGAGATGCACCTCTGTTGGTATGAGTAGTACTATTAATCCTCTTATATAAATCTCGGGTATTACAGTCCATCCCTGTTAGCACAAAACCAATTTTGAAATCTTAGATTTAAGGATCATTTTCCTGTTTTTTTTAAGAAACTTCTAACTATATTATAGAGCTAGTTCAGGTAGACACCATGGAGAAAATTTGCAACGTTTTAGTTTATTTTCATAACGCAACTCAATCTTTTTCACATGTTTATATACCTAATAGTAACTTATTTTAATAGAAGTTGTTAATCTCGTTTTACATGCTTTCAAAAAAATCCTAAGCCACTTATGTTTATTATATTTTTTAGGCTAAAGGGTCAAATAGGTACATGAACTAACTTAAAGTGTTCAATTAGCCCCTTATATAGGAAGTTCTGCCCGACCGTCGCCAATTGGGGCGGTTCCCGGTGGATTTTTTTGATGAAATTGTTTGAGCATCTTCTTCATTAAGTCTAGTTTACCCATACCAAATTGCAGCTAAAAATTCAATCGGGAAGGCAGTCAAATGATTTTCCGAAATGTACTGCGCTGTTTAACTGCGCAGTTATCTTCAAAAAAACATTTGACTGCCTTCCAGGTAGAATTTTTAGCTGAAATTTGGTATAAGTAAACTAGACTTAATGAAGAAGATGCTCAAAAAATTTCATCAAAAAATTCCACCGGGAACCACCCCAATTGGCGACGGCCGGGCAGAACCTCCTATATAAGGGGCTAATTGAACACTTTAAGTTAGTTCATGTACCTATTTGACCCTTTAGCCTATTTTTTATTTCATGAAAGAAAAGTTTTTAAATATTATGCATACTTTTCGCCTATATATGCTATTGCTTTCTGTCTTGATCCTCGTTTCAAACTTTCTACATACTTATCAAACACTTTTAGATTACTATTATACTTGTTTCTGCGGTGAATTGCCTATGTACGATGACACCACTATAGATTCTCAAGCACAATTCAATGAGATTAGTAATATATTTCATAATTTATATAATGAGTTTCATGCACAATATGGAAACATATTCCCTCCCTCGAAACCGACTACTTCTTCATCTAAAGGAAAAAAAATTTTAAATCTACAATATATAATCTTTTGAAAAAAATAAATCTATTCCTGCCCCTGCACAAAGATCGATCAACAAGCTTTCTTTATATCTAACTTTTGTTGTTGAGTATGATGAAAGAGAAAAGTTTGACATTCTGCAATGATGAAAGGCCACGAAGGAATGTTCCCATTTTATATAAAAAAATGCCAAAACAAGTGTTGTCAATGTCGGTTTCAAGAGTTCCCTTGGAACGGTTAAAAACATCTAAAAGCGGTTGTCTCCCTAATGTAGGGTTTGAAGCCTATGCGCGATAGTTGCGCCTCTTCTTCGGCAAAGCAGGAAGCGAGGCAGCCGGCGCATCCCTGAAGCAGCAACAGCCATAGCTAGAAGACAACAACAACCCCTACTCGTTCGGCCGAGTATTCAAGCAAAACAAGAAGGATGGAAGACATTGTGAACAAGTATGACAACATGGCCATTGGCGGGGAAGAGGAAGAACTTGTTTTTTTATAATGAGATTGAGGGTGAGGGCGAGGCCTCGGACTGTAGGGCTATTTTTCCAGTCGTGGGCACTCTTCTCACGGACCGTATGGTGAGATTTTCGGTGTTCAAAGATCTCATGCATTCACTATGGCATCCCGGCAAAAGCTCAATCAAGGAGATTGGTGAAAAAAGGTACATGTTTACTTTTTACCATATTGTTGATATGGAACGTGTCACGCCCCGGACCTCTCCGGACACGTCAACAACCCGCCGTACAATACGAATAGTCAACCGCAGTCCAACACATTCATATTATACAAGGCGTCATGAATATCATTCACACATAAGTCATCCATAAACATACATAATAAGCAATTCAATACGCAGCGGAAAACATTGTTTAAAACAAAAGGGCCACACAGGGCAAACATGAGCACGCAGGCTCTAAAGTAAAATATCCATGAGCATGTTTATTAATGTTCTAAAACAGAATGGAGGAAGCACGAACCAAGTCTTCTCTCCGGGGAAATCACTCGGGCAACGAGCACAGGAAGCAAGCTCTAGCCTCAACCTGAAATGGTGGTGGGACGCCCCCGAAGGGGTCAGTACTCTATACGGCTATAAAGTACTGGTGTGGCAGGCATCTAATAGATATACAACAAGTATTTCAAACACAAGACCCTCAAATAGGGTGATAGTACATCATGGTTGTAACCCTAAATTACCCCGTTTAAATATATACTTACTTTATATAAAAGTCAAGTAGTCGGCCCGTGGGCCCGTTTTCATTTGGAAATCACCATTCCCAACCCCGTGGCTATAAGCCACGACAACTCCTAGAGTCCAACCCTAGTACATGACATTGTATTCTAGAGCTCGGCTCTACCACATCACCATACAATTCATATACCTCGGGTCAATTTCCTTACCTTGCGTTCTAGAGCTCGGCTCTACCACATCACCACGCAAGTCCTAGAGCTCGGCTCTAGCTATACAATACATAGACTACAAGTCTACACCTTACATGCATTCTAGAGCTCGGCTCTACCACATCACCATGCATTAAGGCCCAATTCTCAAGCAACCCTATGCCTAGAATTGACATATCATTAAACTACCATGGGTCATCCTTAAAGACTTCCCATAACTTAACCTTAGTTCCATACTAAGTTATTAGATACACTTGAACTATATTCAAGTACCTTTCATACAATCCAATCCCTAGGATCAATTAAATCAACAAGTTCCAATAATCACTAACTAGTATTTCAATACTATTAAGATTATTGTTATCATACCACTATCCTCTTTACTTGTAATACTCTACATAATTATAATTATGTAGCAGCAACTTAAGTATTCAATCTCAATACACAAATATTCATTTATGTATCCAAATAATTCGTACATGAGCAAAATACCTATTTCGCAAAAATAGTTCATTGATACTCATTTAATCTCATATTATCCATACGTTCTCAAATCATTTCAAATTTCATTCTTTGGCAACTATATCAATATTTCAGCAATATATAATCATCATAATCCATGAAAAATAATGATTTAAGCATTTAGGTAATCTCATGCTTAACCTACAAGTTGTAAGCAATTAGATGTCAATCCTCACCTCAATTGAGCTT